ATAAAGAAACTAATAAGCAGAATAATATAAGCAAGGAATAATTCTTATGTCGTCCTAATAAACGTATAAATCAGACCTCACCTGAAGGTTTCCCAAATTAGACCCATAATAATATAATATGCTAACTGTTGTGAACTGAATTATGCTATACAGAGCCATATATTTGAAACAACTGAAGCTTGTGACTAGGGCTGCACGGCCTTCCCTAATGAATTTTTAATAATAACAAAAGAATGCTTTTTAAATAAAGAACCCAACGAAGAATTCTAATAAGTCATATCATACTTGATAACTTCGATAACACATCCGATATCCATATTGCGACTCGTAAATGGAGCTGCAACAGAAGCTTCAGCATCAGAAAGTGACAGCCCAACATCAGCTGCTTTAAGTGCACCACAATCATTGGCACCATCACCACAAAAACCAACACAGTATCCTATTTCTTGAAGTTTTTCTACTAATTCGTGTTTCTCGTCTGGCGACATACGGGCAAAAATTTGACCTTTGACAAGCATCTACAGAACATTGAAAACATGCTCAAAAATAATAATTTATTACTTATGCAAACTTTATATAGAATAGATACCCGATATAACGTCATTTCATCTCCATAATCCATAATCCAACGGAATACATCGCCAGTCACTGCAAGGTCATATTCATAAGGACCAATAAACGGATATTCGCTAGGAAAATCATGTGATACAGAAATAATCTGCTATTATAATATTAATAATCATAATTTAATCATTGTAAAATTTATAAAATAATTTTTAATTGGTAAGACAAATACCTTTAGTGTTGTTGAATCCAATGAATCCTTCGGGTTATCCAAACTCTCCCATAAAATGGATGCTCGCGAGCTTAGAGACGATCCTTGAGCGAATCTCGGTACATAAACTTTTGAGGCCTTATTAACTAATCCACATTCACGGGAAACACTTATTGCGGTTAAAACATTATCGCCTAGATGATAAAGTATAATCTATCAGACGAACAATCAAGAAATTATTTGTGAACAATGAAAATAGTATTTACCAGTACACATTATCTGTCGTATTTTAGCTCTTTTGAGAGTTTCAACAACTGAGGCTGTACCAGGCTTCAATTTATTCTCAAATATTATAAAGCCTATAAACTCTAAATCTTGTTCTACCTGCTCTCTTTATAATGGACATATATATCAAAAAAAGAAGAAAAAAAAAAATTATTAACATATACGAGTTAATGACTAATAAATCTAACCTTTTGATCTTCTGAGCCTTCATCCAGCTGAGATCAGTAAAACTCCTTGAAGCGCATGCAATTACACGAAAACCATTATGAGTGTAATAATGTAATAATTCATCATAGTCCTCCGGAACTGAATAACAGCATAATAATTAATCTATTAAATCAAAATTTTCGTTGCTGAACATTGATACACATCCGAGCGAAACTCACAGGAATCGACTCTACAAATATCGCGCATTACTTCTGGCGCTCCTTTAAC